TCGATCGAATTCCGCACGCGCCCAAAATTAAAAACTAGCCCTAAAGCACGGATTGCAGAAATAAAGAAAACCAAACCAAAGAAAAACAAAAAAGCAATCAAAAACAAATCAACGAAGAAGGAGAAGCAAAAAACTAAGAATAAATAAAAGCAAAAACAAAAAAAAACAAAATAATCTTATGATGATAATAATAACAATAATAATTATTATCATTATGAACGCTCTCTGCGGATTCCCTTTGTCCATTCAACAGAATGAATAAAATTATCAATTTCAAGTCTGCAGCACCAGGTATCCCCAGGCAGTCACCCATCCGGGTACTAACCTGGCCCTACCAGGCTTGACTTCGGTGATCGGACGAGAACCGGTGCTTTCCCAGTGGTATGGCCGTAGACGAAAAGACCTGGTACAAAATCACGCTTTTATCAGACCTATTGCCCTTAATCTATTGCACCATAGCGCCGCGGTTTGTTTCTACTATCGATCGCCATGGCTGTCATTTGGGAAATGCAACTGGCCTCCTCCACAGGCTTTTCTAGTTGTTCTAAATTTCGGGTTTCCTGTGGAGATGGTACGCAAGACAGGGGACTAGGGAGGGAAAAGAAAAAGTAGCTGTTATCTGAAGAGTTGTCTGTGAGGTGCGTAACGCGTAGAATTCGATTGATTTCCGCACGCGCCCAAAGAGAAACTACGCCTAAAGCACGGCTTAAACAAGGAAAAACAGCAAACGTTCAAAAAGAAAAAGACAGGAAATAAAAAAACAAACAAAAACAACAACGACAACAAAAAGCGGAGCTTTGAAACATTCTCACACAAGTTGCGCGCGTAAACAARATGTCATCAAAKGAGATTTTGTGACGTGCGTAACGTGTAGAATTCCATCGATTCCCGCGCGCACCTAAAGCCTAAAGGAAGCCTAAAAGCTTCTCTTTGATCTGAGGGCAATGCAATGGAATCCGATAATGATGTCACACTGACCTCTCTGAGTAATAAATCAAACTTTTGCGAACCTTAAAGGAATCGCTGACACGCTTCCCATATCGCCCACGCACGCCGTGGCCCTAATATTGCCTGTCTGCGTATCTTTTCTACCAAGAGCGCGTCACCGGTCTCGCGGCACCTGATCACTCGGCAGGGCACTATAAAAGACGCGCGGCCAAGCAATGCACTGACATATCACAATTTATCGATCTGCACAACTGAACTTATCATTCGACCTGTCTGTTGATTATGGTTCGTACTAAACAAACAGCGCGCAAATCCACCGGAGGCAAAGCGCCAAGAAAGCAGCTGGCTACCAAAGCAGCAAGGAAAAGTGCTCCCGCTACCGGAGGTGTCAAGAAGCCTCATCGCTACCGYCCCGGCACTGTCGCTCTTCGCGAGATTCGTCGCTACCAAAAGTCTACCGAGCTATTGATCAGAAAACTTCCCYTCCAACGGCTTGTGAGAGAGATAGYACAGGACTTSAAGACCGACCTTCGATTTCAAAGCTCAGCGGTCATGGCTCTGCAAGAAGAAAGCGAAGCCTACCTTGTGGGCCTTTTCRAGGACACCAATCTATGTGCCATCCACGCCAAGCGAGTTACYATCATGCCAAAGGACATCCAGTTGGCAAGGCGAATCAGGGGAGAAAGAGCGTAGGAGCTACCAGACTASCTTGTCAAATAAACAACGGCTTTTTTRAAAGCSACCACACSACTAAAAATGTCCATGTCTATACGATGCTTTCATACTAAATTCATACTAAAAAGGAAATAATTATAAGAAATGATTAAAAAGCGCAAATTGATCRCAATGACAGTGCAAAACAAAGAGGAAATAAAGAGGGCGTAACAAACAAACAATACGCGGGATACATATATAGAGGGATTCGGATACTAAAGCGCATTAAGAAAGAACGGAAATACATATTCTTTGTAATTACGTGCCTATGATCATACAGGGATTTTAAAAAACAAAAACTGCACTGAATTGTGTTGATCAATGACACTCAAAAGACTTAGATTTATTTGTTTGAGTGGTGTGTTAGGGTGGTGGTGTGCGTTGGTGTTTTTGCTAGTACCCATGATGCCCTGGGGCGGGCACACAGGAAGCCCGGGCGTCCGAGGAGAATCAAATTAAGAGGTGGTAGTAGTAGTGTGTTTTTGAATGTTGGTTGACAGTATACATTGATATCATTAATTGTAGCTGTTCTTTAATATTTAGTTGTTTTACTTTTGGTCAAAGTTAATCAAATAAAATAATATTGAGTATGGACTTGACTTTCGAGCCATTTGTTGGCTCCTAGAGGAGCCGTTTTTTGCATGTTTGTTCTGTTCAATCAAGGCTAGCTCTTCTTTTCGGCCTTCTTGGGTAGCAGAACAACCTGGATCCTGGATGTATATCGGCGGGCTTTCTTAGCAAATGCGGATTACCTGTGTTAAACGTCATGGTCCCTCGCCTCCCCTATCGCGGGTCCTTAATAATTTTTTAGCATTCACTTTCTACTTTTTTAGCCTGAAGATAAACTTCCATTCTTCCTAATTATTAATGTATGGTCATTTCTTCCTTGCGATATGTTTTTCATCCATAAATTCTCGATCACTCACTCAACGCCATTTTGAAAAAGACTAAGCCGAGAGAAGCTGGGGACAACTRGTTGCTTATGTGCTTATGTAAGGGCTACGGTTAAATGTTCAAAATTGGTAAATAGGAATGTGTAGATAATGGCGCTTTACATGGTATGTACTTTTTGTGTTATCTTTATGATCCTGACACCCTTATAATKTTATGATTTTTGAAGGGATAAATTATATAGGAAAGCCTTTCAAAGGTAAACCTAGAGCTGTGAAAGAGCAGGTCTATAACTTAGTAGAGCTTGAATGATGTATGACTTCACAAATTTAAGGGKTTTTTTTGGAGTTACAGTGATCAAGTCGAGTTTTATTCTGTAATTCGTTAAGTGTTATAAGTATAGAGATTTTTTAAATAAGGRAAATGCCCATTTCACTGTCCTAGCTGCTTCTCATTGAATTTTTGACTCAWCTAGAGCAGAGTCGCTTGAACCATGAAATAGAAACTAAATACTTGGTAACAAAAAGGCGCTATCTAGACACTATTACAGAACCAGAACAGTGCAAAGAATAAAGAAAAGAGATAACCTTGCTTGTTAAAGTGGTCTCTTGGGTATTGCTTATCATTTGCACTTATCATTTGCTTTCCATGGGTCGACTCCAAGGACAGCCTGGGAAACCTCCGGGGACCCAAGGGGAATAGTCCAGTTTTGTATTTGCTTTTTTCYCCCAGTGGGGAGGGAGCATTGGATAGTTTTTGTAATGAACTCTTGCTGGTCCTCGGGATTTTTGTTTGACTTWTGGTCAGCGTCTTTTTCGCAAGAKACTATAGTGTTTTTTTGAACCATAATAAACTTTGTCAAAATGGCAAATTGATGTAAATGGTGTTAATTGATATTAATTGGTATTTTTATCCATTGATGAAAAGGTACAGATATGTTAGTTATCAGTTTCCAATACAAATTGATTATAATAGTAAGATTGATTATATAACTACGCAAGATTATACAAATTGATTACTTGGCATCTAGTACACAAGATAGTGCTTCAGACTACTTTACTGAGCTTACTTGACTTGTAACTGAACATAATCAATGTTAATCAATGCCAATGGTATTAATTAATAAGCTTTTTATCAATTTTTTACTGGATATTAATCAGCTGATTTCTTTTATTAATATTCATGATTGATTTGACAATCGATGATCACATTTCATTAATTAATTAAGGGGGATGATAAATGGCAGACAATATTATATACTAGTCGGTAGACACTTGTACACATTTTRTAACTCAGTTCCTTTTAAACCCCTCAAATGAAATCACCAAAATGTATTTTCATTGTACTTATTGAAAAGAATCAAGAATTATTASTTCCAGGAAAAACTTGGAAAGTCTGATAAAACAGGCGTTTTGTTTTATTTTTCTCATGCACTTTATTTCTGCATGAAGTAATCAGAATAGATACAGTCATCTAGAGAAATACTGAGACTAGAATTTAAAAAAAATAAGTTTATAAGCTATTTTTAAGAAGGCTCATAAAAGAGGCTTTCAGGCAATAGTGGTTTGGGATGGCAGACCTGCAAAATAGCAATCTAACTTTAGTATTGAAATATAGCACTCGACAATCATTATTCACTTCAGTCTACTTATATTACATTGGCTGATACAAAATAACATTMCAATTTTTGATAATTCATAATCYTCCACATTGATTGAACATYCCATAATGTGTTTGGCTAGTCTTAGCTATTAATATTAAAATAATGGTATTTATGCTTTTGTTGTAGGTTTCAAATTCATTACTAAAAATGTCATGTTCAAATGGAATAAGGAATATATGCAGAGTTGTCCCTGCWGCTATSTATATTGGRCGACGCTTTTGTCATCATTTGTCACAACCTCTAACTGGTGCATTGTCTGAAGAGGAAAAGATGATAAAAGACACCGGTAAATTCATACAAATTTATGAAKTTCTTGAACTTGCTTTTCTTATGAWAATTCAATATTTTGATTATATATTTATTCACTCCTTAAAAAAAATATGCTGAATGCTAAAAATGCTGGTATTGAGCCAGGAATATTTAAAGTTTAGTCTGGGTGATGAGTGTTGACCCACKAATTTGTAGTTCTGTGTATTTCATAAGTATTGCACCAGAGGATGCCTTATTTATTCATGTATAATCCACACTTTTTTCCCAAAAAAATCATTCCCAAATTGGTGGTGCAGCTTATCTACAAGAAGACTTGTAAATTGCCTGAAAAAAAGCTAATTTGCATTAWATTAGCATTCACTGTGCTACTTAATCTTACTGCAGACAGTTGGCGACGTATTATAAATTGTCTAGGACATTCAGTAATAATGTGATAAGTTTTTTTACACGGTGTGGACAGAAATATTTAATGCATTATGTAGTACTGTTACAACTATAAATTCCCCGAAAATCAAACTCTGAGAAACACAAGTCAATAAATCAAACTGAAAAATGTGTGGTTATTGAGCCAATGAACAGAGAGCATTTTCAATCATTTTGTCTTGGAGGTGTTTTGGTAACGTGATGCTGATTTGCATCGTTCATTTAAGCGACTGGAAGTTTTGCGGCACGATGAGATTTATAATTACATCACTTAATTATTACTAGTTTGCTTTTACCTTTTGAATGAAAAACAACTCTTTAAATATAGTATTAATTATCAATCTAACCAATTATGCCTACACGATAAACTMCAAGAGCATCATAGTACACCGTACGTTAAATGAACTGATCGTAATTGCATATATGCAATTGCAATGGATCACAGAAATTGAGCAGCGGGAAAGAACTTTAAAATAAAAAAAAGCTGTGTTGGTAGGTGGCGATCACAAAGAGAAAAGTGTATTTTATTTTTATTTTTTCCATCTTTTTTGTCCTCAAAAACGTTCCCAAAACTTGGGGTGCGGCTTATCTACAATAGCGGCTTTAAACATGAGTAAATACGGTACATTAAAGATTTTGATTGACTTTGCTACKCTGGGTTTAATTAGTATTTTACCATACTATTGAACTATTGCAAATCGTTTGTTCTGATTGGCTACGCTACTCGGGGTCTATTTTCAATAATCCTCTACTTGGAAAAAGCGACAACTTTTTGCATATTTTTAGCAATAAAAACATTTAGTTATTTATATATTTTATTTTTATTTTTTGTCAAACTAGTATGGAAATAACAAAACAAACTCTTAGCCTCATGGATTACGAACTGATAGCCCATTCGGCYTTGGTCCTCATGGACTCTCAGCTCGTAGTCTACTCGCCCTCRAGATTTAATTGTTAAATAGTCCTCGACTAGTAAAAAGCACCAACTTTGATTTTCTTTTTATAGAAAKATTGTGGGTCAAATCGATGTGACCGTTTTTTAAAAGTTGTTTTTTGTTTGTTTGTTTTTTATCAAAAATGTCTAATTGTTATGTACATGTAGTTTACTCAGGTCTAATTGTTAAATAGCCTGGGTTTATATAAGTAGACATATTCCTTGAATTTATAATTTTTGGGAAATATGAGATATACAGCTCAGGGGCTGTCAATCCCAGGCAATTTCCAGTCAAGATCAATAAATCTGCTCAAACCACAAAAGAAAGAAAAAATATATTTAGCAAACCATTTATATTTCACTTTGGTCATAAATCATGTCCTATTTTTGGAAAATGTACTTAAAAAGCATTTGCCATTTTCCTGAAAAATTGGGAGATTTTATGAATTATGAATTCTTGAGACAGCCCAAAATCTTGTAGACTCCTCGCAGCCGTTTTCCGGTGTCGTCTCCTTAAGGGGGAGGATTAAGGAGACGACACCGGAAAACGGCTGCGAGGAGTCTAAAAATCTTGAGACGTCCACATTATCTGGGAGAGTCAACAGCCATGATACAGTCCTACAAATAACAATATGAATAATGATTCAGTGAGATTATTATGAACTATTATAATTGCTTTGCAGTTTCTAAATTTGCTACAGAAAAAATCAAGCCACTGGTACCTGAAATGGATCAAAAATCTCATATGGACTCATCTGTTATCAAAGGACTCTTTGAACAGGGGGTAATGATGATAAATGTATGATGACCATTACAATCATTGTGATATCATTTTTAACTCAAAGGTTGCATAGCAATCCAAGAATTATGAGAGGAAGATGATGGTGTGTGTGGTGGACTCATCAATAAGTCAACACGTACTATTTGATTTTTTGATCAGTTATAAATTATATGTACTAAGATGATCAATGCCTTTGATTTCCAATAATTTGTAAAAGTACATAAATATCACAGTTCCAGAATACTTTTGAAAATTATTGTATTTCATCAAACACAGATTGATTTTCTTTCAAATAGTTTGTATCCTTCTAAAATACTCTGAAATTAATGATTTCATTTGTGAATTGAACCAATTTTAAAATTGATTGTTGGCCTGTTCAAGCTAAAATTGCTTTCATCTATGTATTTCTACAACTTCAAGTACATGTACAAGGGTATAGGTTAAGGCTAAAAGTTAATTAATGAAAATAAGGTACATTATGGTCAAAAACCAAAGCAGTGATCCACCTTTCATTCATATTGAAATATTTTAACTTTCTATTTATTGCTACACTTTTCAAGAAAAAGATATTCATTACTAGTAACTAAAATAATACATGTACRTCATCAATCTCTGCAGCTAATGGGTATAGAAATTGGTGCTGAGCATGGTGGAACAAATGGCACTTTCTTCATGGCTAACTTGGTAATAGAAGAACTTGCTAAGGTTGACCCCTCTGTTAGTGTCATGTGTGATGTCCAGAACACCTTGATCAACACCTATATCATGAAGTATTGTAATGAAGAACAAAAGAAAATGTACCTACCACAACTAGCAACTGATACAGTGAGTGCYAGTCTGTATATCTGTAGTTTGTTGTTGGGCTGTCAATAGGTAGTTRGTTGGCTGCAAGTAAGTTGTTGGTGTCTTAGGSCRMKRTKKYKCWYWT